CCCCAAAACCCCAAAACCCCAAAACCCCAAAACCCCAAAACCCCAAAACCCCTAGATTAGGCTATAAATTAAGATATAAATTTGTAAAAATGCATTCAGTGTTTTCAAAAAGAATTCTGACCACTAAAAGCGGTGCATTCGCTCAGAGAAAGCTGATGACTAGCAGATTGATAATGAATCCAAGCATGTTTTTTCATCAAGCCTCTAGTGCTGGTTTTAGAAGTTACAACTGAGCCTTAAATCCTGTTATGAAAAGGATCCCACCATTCGGGATCAAGCAATTGTTCAGGACTCCAGCCAGAGGATATGTCTCTGATCTTGCTGAGGCTCATGAAATGTATGGACTCTTCAGAAAAGGTCAAAATATCGGATATCTAAGTACACTTATGGAGGATCCTTCTGATGCAAAATTGGTAACCAAGGAGAATTACAAAGATGAACTTAACTTCTATCATGGTATTCCTGAATTAGCTGAAAATATCTTTGACAAATTGGTCCAGATCAAAGTGTCAAGTTGCTCTAAGGTTCCTTTTAATTCACCAACCGGAACATGGCTGCAGGTTATTTACCCTTTCGCTGAGAACCAAAGGTTGGCTGACAAATATAGAAAGTTTGCAGATGGACATCTTCTAGTAGGAAAACTACTAGAAGAAATTGATGCTCTCTGCGCTGAATCAGCTTACAGATTCATTAGAGGAAATAGCAACGAGTAATTTAATGATTTGATTCATATAGTTTGTCTAAGGTGTCAAAAGTTACAGCAGCAGTGGATCAGGTGGAATTCAAAACCCCACTTCTTGTAGATGAGAACCTGAAGATCAACACATATGTTATTTACTGCGGCAGCAGTACCATATATACAAAGGCAGATATCTACTCACAAGAGAAAGGGAGTGATAAATGGAAGTACAAAGGACACACCATCTTCATTATGGCTGCTAGAAAAGGCGACAAGGCGTACAAACTCCCTAAGATGGTCTTTGAAGGTGAAGAGTATCCAGACGTTGCAAAGCCAAGAGAAGCTCTTGGAGAAGAACTCAAGAACTACATTATAAATTTAAATACAGATCTGTTTAAGCAACCACCGAATAGAAGGGAATCAGAGCATATCTATGAATTGTTCAAGAAGCAGAAGTTTGGCAACCCAAAGGAATACAAGACTGTCTCTGATACAGTACTTTCACATAACACTTTGATGCAACCCCAAGAGACAAACACTTATGGGAAGATCTTTGGTGGGTATCTTATGAATAGAGCAGCAGAGAGCGCAGTCATGAATGTTAAAAAGTTTACTGAAGAAGTCAACCCTGAAATCCTCTACATTGATACTATAAAATTCATCAAGCCAGTAGAAGTTGGGCACATAATGCAGTTCATTAGCAGGATTACCTACACCACTGGGAACATGATGAGAGTTGCTGTCAGTGCTCTAGACATCACAGAGAAAAACAAAGAAGGGGACTTGACTAATGAATTCCACTTTGTTTTCAAGCTCAAAGGGCAATACAATATCTATCCAGGAACTTACTATGACTCGTTGCTCTACCTTGAAGGCAAGAGAAGAACAGAATATTTGCTAAATTTCTAGATGGACACCTAGTAAGGGGTTTTGGGGTTTTGGGGTTTTGGGG